AAGATTGCCACTGAAGTGTTTTCACTCGCATAGGAGGTGACAACAACTGACTTCTATCTCCTGCTGCCCCCACAGTTTCATACCTGGTTTGTCACTCCAGTTCTCCAGTATTACTCTTTCTCCATTCAGACTCATTCCCTACCCTTCTCATACTCTTCTCCCCCGCCTTTTTACCCGTACTCCCTTCCTTTAGTGTCCCCTCTCCCTCTAGCTTTCTAATGCTCTATCACCCTGAGCACCACCTGAAAAATGAAATTGCCCTCGCACTTCCCAAAATAACCAAGAAAAATTATGAAACTAAATCTGGTTAGAGGTATCACTGTTCTCTATTATATGCTGCAGTCCTGCCCTCTGTTGCCTTTTGGTCACTTTACTATTTTGATTTTGAAGTTCTGTGAGAAGGAACTGTGTTTTCTGTCATACATGTCTAGCAAACTGGGGCAACATTATCGGTGGATCTCTCAACAACACAAAAGAAACAAATCTAGACAAAAATAAGTAGAGACAAATGGAAAGCTATGTTCCTTGTTCTGAACATGTCTTTTAAGAGTGATACATGTATACATGCAGGCACACACAACATACACATAGATTTCTTTTCACTATATCCTAAGTTTAAATTTCTTTTTCTTCACTTTAGCAATGAAGTCCATGGAACATACCTTCACCAATGGATTAATAACACCAACATTAGGGCTTGCATTAAACATTTTGTTGTAGTTAGTCTCCCTGTTAACTAGCTCCAGCTGATAGAACTTTTTGTCCTCCTAAAAAGAAGAACAAATAGAAACTTCTTTTTATGCATTTTCAATTGGTTAGTGGCCAAATCTGCCTATAAAATAATCTCAAATTATGTTTACATTTCATATTTGTTTCATATTTAACATGTTTTATATATTATTATCTGTAAATACTAAATAATTTCTATCTATGCAGTTGTGTTGCAGTTTTATGCTCCTGAGAGCGAGCACAGCCTAATAGATTATGCTGAGTCTGGGAAAGACTCAGTATAGTTAACTTCTGATCTCTAATTAATCTGAATTTCCTCATTCCTTCTTGCCTCTGAATCAGAATCTAATCAGACTAATCTGAGTCAGGGTGTTGTGCTCTGAATAAGGAAATTGGTCTATTTCTTACATGGCTTACACGGCTGGCTTATTCCAGGATTGGAGATAGGAGATGTCTGATCAAAGTCATACTGAAATTTTGTTTTGTAATAATGTATTATGCTTGATTGTGCAAAACACTCTGTATCTAATTAATTTTACTATTATGAGTCACTAGAACCACAGGAATAATGTGTTAAAGAATATTAATAACATGCTAGCAGGACTAGTTCTTTAAATACATTTCAAACACTTTGAATTAGATTAACTTTTATATCTGTCAAGATATTAAACCAAGAGAGCATAAAAGTCTTACAATCAATTTCTTTATGAGTTGGTCCCGCTCTGCAATTAGGTCTTTCAGTTCTGAGATAAGCTGCAAGTCTTCTGGTCTTGATTCTCTGTTTTTATATTTTTCTTCCATTTCTTCTAAACTTTATAGGAAAGAATAATACTCCCTTTAGCCTGATCCAGTGTTAAATGATGAGTGAAAAGTCACATCTTTGATTAGTATAAAAGAGAGTGCAGGGAATAAAAACAGAAGATGACTTTCTTATCACCTTGAAGTAAATTAACATCTTTGTTATCATTCAGCTTTAGCTAGTTAAAAAAGCCCAAATCAACAATAACCATAATTTTTGCTCCAGTAACTAATACTCTGGGCAAAATTCTAAAAACTTAACATCCTTCTTGTGCATGCAGAACTAGGTGTTTGAAAAAAGGCCTCTTGGAAGTCAAACTGAAAATAAGGCATTCAAAATCATAATATGAACAGTAGAATTGCAGAAGACATAGCTAAGATTGCTTCTTATGTAAAATATAGGGACCACATTGCAGTATATTTAATATTAATGTACATTTTAAAAGCTGGCAATTCACTTCCTTGACGAGGAAAACAAATGGTATCATTGTTCTTTTTATAGATACGACTACTCTGAATAAAGATGCATGATTATGATACTAGAGAAACTGGATCGACAGACAAGGCTGGCACCGTCGTCCTCAGTTCATGTGGAACATATTGGGACAAAGATATCCAAGAACAGTGAAGACTAACTAATTCCTCTCCACAAAAGCAAGTTAGTACTGTTAGAGGTGAAATAAAAGAATGAGCTGCAAAAGAAAAGCACTTGGATATTAGAATATCTGGATTAAGAGAGATGTAACAATTGATAAACATTTGAAAAAAAATAGGAAATTTGAAATGTCTGGTGGGAAAGCATTAAAGGAGACAAGTGAAATAAGCCAACTGAGAGAGGAATTGTACACATAAGTGCATAAATCTCCTTGTTTCTTCTTAAAGAACACATTTTGAAGATAGGACAGTTTCAAATGACTATGTCTCTTTGAAACATAAATATAATGCTCATGATGTTAGACATTGTTCCAAAGGCAACTATTAAAATACTTGTCATGCGTGTTCAGCCCTCATGTAGATTAGTGAACCAAGTTTCAGAACAGGTTCAGGAAATCTAACAAACTTCATGAAAAAAGAGACTTAAAAAAAATCCCAAACAAACCCTGACAAAAATCTATCAATCTAAGGCGTCTAAGTCAGCTCAAACTTAATTCCAATTCTACTTCCATGGAAGCAGACATAATTTCTCAGTTTAGATAAATGTTTTCCCTTCAGAAGCAGCTATGTGATTTTTTTACTTTGAGTTGCATCTGAAAAAAACAGTTCATATTAAATTATATTTATAAACTTCAAACAACTTCTACATAATCTGAGGAGATTATATAATGTATTTACATAAAACATTATGACTGTGAACAACTTGACTGTTTTTATTTGCAGAAAAGGCCTTTGACTCAGCAGAACAGAAATACGCTCAGCTGGCTTCATTTTTGTGTATACATTTTATGCTGGGCTAAGCTATTGTATACAGATCCCCAGAGTATAGTACATAGTTATGCACAGTTGTCATTTTATTTTCAGGTATTTCAGAGAACTGTTCGGGGTTTTTTTTTCTGTTTCAAAGAGATAATATGTAATTTAAAGACTCTAGTTGTAGAGCCTAATTAATGATACCCACTCTCAATTGCTGTAAGATAGATTCTCCATTTCATAACTGTTCACAAGGCCATGCTTTAGGTACGGCTGAACCTGGAAACAGTTACTTAAGAAATAGCAGCATAAAACTCTTCTGTTGTTTGGTTTCTTTTAACATAGTTTCCTCTTCTGACAGCTGCTTCAATATAAGTAGAGAGCCTAACACACTGAAAGCCAGGTCAGGGCACCCTGGATAATGTTTGCTGTCTTTAGGCCAGTGGCTGCTTCCTCACAGCTTGAGAGTTGAGCAAGAACCAGGAGTAGGGAACTAACTAAATTCAGAAAATTTCAGGACGCTGAGAAACAAGCAACTTCATGGGAGAAAAAGTTAGGGTAAACGGTTCTAAAACATAGCTTTGGTGGCTGCTCATAGGCATGTTTCTCATACAAGATAAATGCAGTAAACAGGAGGTAGTTTACTAATTTACTGAATGGCACATTTATCACGGCACAGGACTGTGCATGTCAACGATTACAAAGGAGTAAGAACTAGAATTTTACACCCATCTTATATGAAGACAATTTCTGAGTGCTTATTATCAAGAAAGAATTAGATGCATTTGGGCTTTATTGTCCATTTTTAATTGATACTTACTTTAAAAAGTTTTCTATCATATACCTAGAACCAATTATTTTCTCTGCCATAAATCTTTTGTGCTGCACAACTTTGTGTCACGAAGCCCTCAAAGCACTATGAAACCTCAGTCAGAAGCCCTGACCAAATGAGTTACATCACAGACAGAGATAAAGAATGAAGGACGTGGAAGACAGGAAAACACCGGCTAGATGACACACTCCTACACCACTTCTGCCCAGAGGTGGTCTAACCCCAGGTGGCACTTTGACTCAGAGACACTCTAAGTATTCTGTTATTGTTATGCTCATATAATCCATTTCAGACACTAATCTTCCTTATGTTAGCAAACCTGAAAATGTTTGCATCACTCATGTGCTACAATCAGACTTCTTAATAGCAAATATTGGACTGTTTATAAACTTGTTGAAGAAACTCTTTTGTTCTCAAAAAATATGTTTAAAGATTGAGAGAAAACATTTGAAATAATGTTTTCTCCAATCTTCTAAGAACTGCACAGATTTAATATCTTTCCTACTTGAAATTTTTCAGTCTCAGATCCCTAAGAATTTATCTCACTAAATTCCCTGAAAGCTTATAGAATTGTGTTGCCTAAAGAATGCAAGATTAGGCCCCCTATTTGACTGTGGGTTTTGTACATCTGCACCTCTGCAGTATCTTCAGCAACTTATGGACACCAGAATAAAGTATTCACTCAAACGCAGCTACATACAAGTTTTTTTAACGCAACAAAACTTAAGAAATTTGTAAAGCTGAATTAATTTCCTTGAGCAGCTCTTGGGTCTTATTAAAATCTGCCAGCATGCTTTGTTTCTCTCTGATGTGATCTGCTGTCAAGACATCCAGCTCTTTCTCATGTTTCTTGCTTAAATCTTGCTCATGCATCCTGTTTAGTTTATTTTTTGTTAAAAAAAGAGTTATTCTAAGATCAGACTCGTTTGTTCATCATGATTTTCTGCCATGCTTCTAATGGCTTTTACACAATATCAGACAACACAGAAGGAATTACTTATTCATCAAAACCCACTACTTACTGTCCTCCAATCTTCTAGCTTATTTCATGGAAAATGCATCTCCTTTAATGCTTTTTTAAATAAAAACCATACAGAATGAAAAAAAAACAACCCACAAAAACTAAAAACCATGAAGAATGAAAAAAAACCCCACAAAAACTAACACTTGAGCAGACTGTTACTAAAATATGCCAAAATGTATCTCTGAAATGCAGCTTAACTGTATGGTAATATTCACTAACTTTACTAGTAATGGGCATAGCTTTTTCTAAAGATGACTAAATGATGTATAACATCACTTGATTAAGAGGATAAATTAAAAGCTGCAAATGGTAAAATTTCTTAAATCAAATACAGGAAATAATACACATTTGAATTTAGAGTGGAAAAATTCATACCTGATCTGTTGGTTGGATTCACTGCGTATTCTAAGAACTTCTTTCCCTTTAAACTCTAATTCCTTGGTCAATGCACTTATATTTTCATGAAGGTGCAGAATCTCTTTGTCCAGTTCAGCTATATGATGGTCTCGGTGTCTCAGTTCATCTTGTAGATCTGATATTCGGCATAAAAATTCTTTCTCCTATGACAGAAGTAGCAGCAGCAAAGAATACTGTAAAAAGACTTGCCTCTCAGAAGCATAATACTTGCTTTTGGAAGATAAGAGCTGAACAGAATTTTCCATTCAACAGACAATTTTTCAGGTTTTGATGCTGACACAAATTATAATTATAAACTGAGGGGGTTTTTATTGTGCACAAGTACAAATAAAGAAGAAATCAAAGGTATGTAACAATTTCCATTTGCAACAAAATTTAAAACCTGTCATTGTAATTGCCTGTTAAAAGTTTGCATAGTTCATTACATTTTCCTTTTGCTCCCCCATACAACAAAAAACCTGATACCTCTAAGAACCAGGGGGCTGGGCATTTAGCATTCTTTACCTCTTCAACACACGATATAGAGAAACTGATTTTCCCTTTACCCCCCATACAATGGGACAAAAGAGCTCAAGATGTGTGCCCTGCACCAATGAATACTATGATTCAGAAGTTTCCTATCTTACGTATATATAAATATAAGGATAATACGCATCTCACAGTGGAATATGTGCTAAAATTGTTTATATAATATTTATATTATGTCCAATAAATCAATAAAAGTCATTCTTTAGCAGAAGAAGTTCTAATGAATTTAACATCTGGGAAACGCATCTGGAACCCATCCCAATGGTTTTGATAATGATTGTCCTCAATTTAGAACAAATCTGTAATAAAATCAACCTTTTTCAAAGTTTTCCATTTACATCTATTCGGCTTCTTACAGTTTCACAATAATTAATGACCATATAGTTTGCACAGATAGAAAATCAGTAGATATTTCAAAGTAGTTTTATGTATAATTGTGTTCTGTGCCTTCATGCATCCAGGAAATACAAATATATCCTAATGCACAAATTTTATAGGACATCTTTAAGACTAGACCTTTAAAAATAACTCTCTACCTCTCTATAGAAAGACTATATTAAAGTTGTAAGAAAATGCAGTGGAAAAATTTATATCCAGGTATTTAAATATTTCAAAAAGCAGCAAATATAATCACCCTGCTCATACCTCTCTGCATTTAGTTCAGGTCTGATCCTGTGAACTGATGAGCATTCTAACACAAAAAACCACAATTAACTGCTTTGCCCTCAGTACAACTAAAGCTTGTGCTTAGCAGATCATTGTACTGAGGCCAAAAGTACATGGCATTTGGTTGGATCAAACACTTGCTCCTGCAATTTAAACTTCTTTTTTCTGACATCTCCTTTAGGTGTCCCACTCTAGGCTTAAAGAACACATGACTGCATGTTTTTGTTCACTGCTGACAGCACTGCATTTTTGCCCCTAGTGCTCACCCTTTTAAACTAGCAAGGAAGAGAAAAAGAAGAGAAGGTCTCATCTTTCACTGTCTCTCTTTTTGAACAAAGGCTATATCCAAAATAAACCTGTTTCCTCTGTTAATATATTTCTGAAACCACTCCACCTCCTTGGTGCTGGACTATCAGTACATCAATCCTGAAAAGCCTATTATATAGGCAAATAAAGAAGTAATTTTCTGGTCGTCTTAATTCCAGGAGTCTGGCTTCCTTACAACAGAAATCAAGCTTTGAATTTTTAGTTACTACTGGAAAAACCAATTGTGTATACAATAAAAAATGAACGAGAAAAGTCAATGAATCAGTTTGCTGCTGAATGCAAAGCCAGTCCATACTGGATTTGGGAGTTTGTTTGGGTTTTTTTTTTTTGTTGTTGTTTTGGATGTGTTTTTTTTAAGAAACAGTTGCAAGCTCTTATGTTATCTTCTCTGCTTTCTTCAGATGCTAATTTATCTTTTCCAATTTGGCTCCTGAAAATAAAAGATACTAAGCTACCTCTTAACTTTGAAGCAATCATTTGGTTTCAAGCAACCACTTCTTAGCCATATCAGTTAGGCTTCGGAGAGAAACAGCTTTTTCCTTTTTAAGTCCTGCTGGCAGCTGAGGATGAGTAGAATTTTGCAAGAATTGGGATTTTCCTCCCATGGCAAGCCAGTGCGCTCCCAGACAGTTGCACAATTCTGAGAGGAAACTGCCTTGATACGGGAGCCTTTACTGGCTTCGAATGAACTTTGTTGAAGGAAGAAAAAGCTAAGCAAGGAAGTTTACCTGAACTGGTAGGAATGCATTATCTGCTGGTGCTGGCTGACTGAAGGATTACATGTTTGTTGATTGTTCACAACAGTTTCTGCCTCCAGCTAAGAGAAAATGAATACTGATGATGCAATTTTAGAGTCAGTTGTCAGCACTGCCTCCTACCTGTCGCCTGCCGAGTTCTATGCTTCTTTCAAGCTCCATTTTGGCAGCTACCAGTTCTTGTTGATGGTTGTGCCTTAGCTGGTCAATGGCTGCTGCATGTTGATGATTCAGCTCTGAGCGCAAGGAAGCTAGTTACCATGAACAAAAAGGAAAGTTTATTTTGCAAATGTTTACATTAATTAACAATAACAGTCCAGCTCTGCCAAGTATTGCTGCTGACCTCACACGCACTGTTTACATCAGCTAAGCAACTGTCCTATCATTCTATTCCCATTACTTTCTGAAACATTCTCCATCGTGAAATTTGGTGACTTACTCCTTCCAAAAAAACGTAAGGGTAAGATTTTTCAAAAGTGAACAGTTTGGGCTTACCTGTTAAAGCTTATACTGATTTTAAGAGGAACAACTAGGTTAACATTGAATGGCTCCGAGATACACTACAGTATTACAATACTCATATACGTACATGCATGTATGTGTGTGTATCTTTGTATCAGTAGAAATAATGGTTTTGGACCCACTTGCAAATTTTTAAGTAGAATACCTAACATAGCTTTTCCTTCATCCTCCAGCTCAAATCGTAGAGTCTGAAGTTCCTGTTCCATCTCCAGTTTGAAACCTTCCATGGCTTGTTTATGTGTTTCTTTCAGCGCCTGAAGTTCTTCAGAGTGTTTCTGTTGTAAACGTTCTTCTAATTCCTATGAAATCACAATTGACAACATTTATTCTATACCAGCTTAGGGAATTTATAAAATATTAAACAATAAACAACTGGCCACAAAAAAGCAGGCATTAGCATACTCTAGAAATCATTAAAAATACACTAATATTGCTCATATTTTCTTCTCTAAGTTATCCTACAATTATATTTTTTCTTTTCAGTGGCCAATGGTTATCAAGATTACCTGTGCATAAAAACTCCGTTCTGCTCACAGCTGGAAAAGAGAAAAAAAATACCTACAGATATAATTACAATAGCAAGCAATGTGGTAAGGTGCAGATCCACAGATGATTCTAACGTGCATGCAATGCACATTTGGGAATTTCTGTTCCCCATTGACACCCATGTTTATTCTCTATCAAAGTGTGTGAAGCATCATGTTCCTGGTGTACATCTGCTAGTTTCATTTTGAAGAAAAGAAATCCACCTTGTGTCCTCCAAGACCAGTCTATGATGTGAACCAAAGTACACTAAGTGAGGACAACGGGAAAATTGCTTGCAAAGGTACACTCTAGATATGAACTTAAAAAAAAAATATATTAGATGCACACCCTATTAAGTACCATGCACTGCCAAAATTTGAATTTTAAAGCTGGTTCAGACAAGGTTTTAAAAAAATATCTTAGGTGTGACATTGTTCTGGACATGCAAATTATCTTGCAATTTACAGAACATCGTTTATACAAATTTTAACATAATGAAAATGTAGAATACATTACAAAAGCAGTCAACTGACAGGATATATCAGAAAACACATGCAAAATTAGGTAACTATAATAGAAAATACAGGGCAACCTATTCCAAATCAAAACTAGAATATAATGCTACAGATAACAATGTCAAATTACTGTAAAGAAACCTGTGCGTTGATAATAATTTTACATATATATACACCTACATATACGCACATACTGGTAGAGTATAAAGCAAGACATGAAACAATTCCAGTATTAGAGATGACTTTCAATATGTCTTAATCAGATTTAACTGGATAAAAATGTTACTATAAGACAGCAGCTGAAAAGGAAATATAGTAGTTACGCAGACACTTTTCTTTACTAATTCCAACTGTGTACATAAATTGCTAAGATGGCAACATTCTCTACATGATTCGGAATATCCATATGAACATGCCTTTTGTTCTTGCTCTTTTGTTTCTTCCATGTTTTGAAAGGCAAGGATATGGGCCTCCTGAAGTGACTTATGCCTTTGCTGATGCTCCTCTTCTAATTCCTGGATCTCCTGAGTCAGCCTCTGTCGCTCCTGACTGAACTGGGCTTGTAGCTGTTGCAAAGAGCTCTGTGACTGGGAAAGCTGCATCTCCAGATTCTGCTTCAGTAAGGAGATCTAACCCACAACAGAACAGCAAATACCTGTTAGTCATTAATACTAACATCAACTCTGAAAAAAAACATTCAAAAGAAGAAAACGCTTGAAATTTTAAAGCCGGAATGTTAACTAAAAGACAGACAAGCAATGTCATCCATCTACTGAATTTGCTGTTAATATTATATCCGAGAGATAGAATAATTAGATTTAAATAGGTTTGTAAGGGTTATCACATCTGTCAGTTCATACTACAGCACTACCTATAACACGATTTTTCATGGCCAAATTATCAAAATTTACTTCTAGGTTTTGTATAAAGATCAATAAAAATGACACTATCAAGATCTGAAATCAAACACTCGATCATTAAGATAAACTATTCTTCAGGGGAACATCACATCAATTCTGTAAGGAAAATCCTGCTGTTGATAGGGGAGGATAGCCTGTGACATCTAGATTGAGTTTTGTATCTTTTGATATGATATGGTCCTACCTACTGGTAGTTTTCTCATTTAAAAAGAAATGGTAGCATACCACTCTACATCACAAATTAAATGTTACACTTGATGGATTCCCCACCACCACTTTTTTTTTGTTAGCTCAGTAATACTATGAGAGTGATTTCTCTGCTGGTTTTAAAGATCTAAGATCTAAGCAATCTGAGTCACAAATATTCATTTTCTTAGAAATACTTGATTTTACAAATTATGCTTTTCTCCCAGCAAGCATTTTAATACGTTCGAGTATACTGAACTCCCTGAAAAAGTCCCATTTTCTTTCTATAATAACGTTGTACTTTGTTCTTCCCATCAGATAGCATCTTTTCAGACTGAAAATACTAAACCTGTATTCCCTTTAGAGTCAAACATGAGAGATATACTCTCCAATTCTGGAAACAAGATTTCAGCAAAAAAGAATTTTGCTACAGTGACTCAAAGGAAGGAAAAATAAAATTGCCATGTGACAAAGAATTTAAATCAGTAAAGATACTTTATAAGTCTCGGAGCATTACATAAAATTGAATTATAAAGGAAAGTCTGATAGTGTCATTTGATTCAGCATATCTTAAATTAATTATGACAAATTAATAATGACATTGCACATCAATTTTTTGATTTACAGAACATTAAACCCCACCACATAACAAGAAATTAACAGCAGCACAACAAGGACAACTTGCAGCATGAACATTATTGTCAATCATGTTGTTTTGGTTTTTTTTCAGAAGGACACAGCTTAAGCAGATTTGAAAGAAAAAAGCTACACTTAAAGGAAAATTAGCTCTAAAACAAAACAAGCAAATTAATTTGAATGAAATGAGCATGACTTGTTGCATTTCAAATTCATCAGGTCTTTGTGTCTGGACATATATAGTCTACCTTCTAAGTATACTGTATCAACTGTATTTTACTTCAGATACCTTTGAAACAGATTAGCTACAATTGAAGGAGTGAAGGCCTGTACTACATTCTTTAATCTGAACTATTCATGTAGTATAAGAACCTTTCAGTAAGTACACTAAATATAAATATCACATACAAATTGTACAGTGTCAGACCAAAGGTTCATCTCATCCTCAGGGTTCTGCCTCCAGAAATGGCCAACCTGAGTTACCCAGGGAAAACAAGGCCAAGGCATAAATGTAGGGATCTGGACTCCAAAGTCTACTAGCATCCAGCAATCTTTCTTAAACCAGAAGAAGTATTTTAGGGCAACTTAATGGAAGAAATATTAATTAAATACAACCACTATCTGAATCCATAGAAGCCACAGTATCCTGTGGCAAATTCCATATAGACGTGCCAATTTGACACAATGACCTCTAATACTTGTAATGGAAAGGAGTCAAAACAAGTTCCCTTTTCATTTACGCTACTCATGTTTTGTAGGTCTCCATTATTTCCCTCCTTACACCCTTTTCTATACTAAACAGTCTTGGCTTAATGTATGGAAGCTATTTGTATCTATCATCACATATCTCCTACTTTTGCTCTTTTTCTACTATTTCTTTTTAAGATTAGGAGACCAAAACAGCATAAGGTATTTTAAATGAGAGTAAACTCTGGTTTTATATAGTGGTTTATATGGTTCTACATGTTACGTTCTTTATTTCTCTCCTATGTTCCTAATATTTTATTCACTTTTGTGACTCCTACTGAGCACTGAGGTGATGTTTTCAAGGAATTATATATTACAGTTCCTAAACCTACTCTCTAGTTTTAACAGGTCAAGGTAAGGTTCATCATTTTCCACAAGAAGTTAGAATTTGGTTGTTTTTCCTTGCGTATCACTTTGCATTTCTTTACACTGAATTTCATCTGCTATTTTATTGCCAAGTCCCTTGGCTTTTTATAGCTATTCTATAATTCTTCAGTCTTTGTCCTTCCCACCCTGAATAACTTTTTATAAGCTGCAAACTTTCCCACCTTACTTATTCATAAACAACCTGCAAAAGAAAATATGTTGAACATCAGGGTAACTCCACTGATAATCTACCTTCGCTGTGGTAACAATATATTTAATATCTATCTTTCAACCAGTTACTTATCTATACAAGAACTTCCCTATCGTATCATGGTGTTCTAGTTTCCTCAGAAGCCCCAGGATTTCTTGGCTGATCTCCTTCAGCATACCATGGCCAGGGCTGCCATGCTGGTAAGACAAACCAATCAACCGCATATCGCATTCTTTCTCTTCAACCCTAGAAACTCACTCCACTGATGCAGTTAGCTTGCACCACGCAACTGCCAGCGTGGCCAGCTCTGAATTTTCTACTCTCAGGTTTGTTGAGGTTTTGTGTTTGTTTCCCTGAGACCATTACTTGGCTCTTAGCTCTTCTACTCCTTGTCTTCCATCTATCCCATACTCCAGTATCTGTCCCCCTACTCCTCTCCTCCTTTGCTCTTTTTCTTCTTCGTAACTCCATTTTTAGTATCATAGGAATGTGCAGTTAGGGTAGTCTTAAGAAATTATCCAGTCCAATTCTTTGCACTAGGTGGGAATTGTATACACAAATTACTGCTTAAAAATCATCTTGTACGAAGGAAATCCCACAATTTTCACTCAGATTCTCTTCTTCCTCCTCTGACTGCCTGTGGCAGAAATACTGCGATACTGGACAGATGTTCTGTCCACTCTTACTTGTCCCTTTCACCATGTTTCTGTCCCTCAGGTTTATCAACATTGCCGTCTCATTCACCACGGCCACTAGGAGGTACAATTCTAGGAGAAGTCCTGCAGAACCTCAGGTAATTTAATCATCATACTCTAAAAAAGCCTTTCATGATAACATTCAAATGGAGTCGACCATGGTATCTCAGCCAAATTTTTATTAAGACGACATGAAAAAATATATTTTTGGCTTGAAGTTAAATCTGTCTCTCACTTAAATTCTGATAATTCTCAGTATATAATTTATAAACATTTTTGGCATAAGCCAAGGGCAAAACAATTTTCATTTCTTTCTTGGAAATGCAGAAAACATTTTAACTGAGTGTGCTGGTTTTGGCTGGGATAGAGTTAATTTTCTTCATACTAGCTTGTATGGCTCTGTGTTTTGGATTTGTGCTGGAAACAGTGCTGATAACACAGGGATGTTTCTGTTACTGCTGAGCAGTGCTTACACAGAGCCAAGGCCTTTGCTGCTCCTCACACCACCGTACCACCGAGTAGGCTGGGGGTGCACAAGGAGTTGGGAGGGGACACAACTGGGACAGCTGACCCCAACTGACCAAAGGGATATTCCATACCATGTAACATCATGCTCAGCATATAAAGCTGGGGGAAGAAGAAAGAAGGGGAGGACATTCAGAGAGATGGCGTTTGTCTTCCCAAGTAACTGTTACATGTGCTGGAGCCCTGCTTTCCTGGAGATGGCTGAACACCTGCCTGCCCATGGGAAGCGGTGAATGAATTCCTTGTTCTGCTTTGCTTGTGTGCTCGGCCTTTGCTTTACTTTTTAAGCTGTCTTTATGTCAACCCACAAGTTTTCTCACTGTTACCCTTCTGATTCTCTTCCCCATCCTGCCAGGGAGGAGTGAGCGAGCAGTTGCATGGGGCTTAGTTGCTGGCCGGGTTAAACCACAACACTGAGATGACCAAGAGAAGTCTGACATCTGGCCAGGAGGCTGTCTTAGAGGAGATCAGGAATTTCCTTCTCAAGAGCAGTTCACACTTCCACCAGATTAAAGTGACTGCAAAACCTCAGCCTGAAATGAGTCCATCTCTGGAGATGCCTATTTGCATCAACAGACTATACAGAAAATAAAGGACAATGAAGATTAAAGGATTTTAACAAGCAAGTGAGACTTGTCTACCCTTCTCATATGTTTTTGTTGTTGTTGAAAGTACATCAAATATTAAAAATCTGAGTTATTTTTAGAAAAGTACATGATTTCAAACATTATTTTGATTATTAAGTACATATACCGATATCCTTAAGAATACATTTTTGAAAACATTAGTGCCTCCCTTTGCATGTCTTTGGAGCATCCCTTCTACATACTCCTGTACTGAGAATTCAAAACAAAACAGCTCTGAACACTATTCTTCTGAACTTTCAATACAGTTATCCAAGGTTTTCAGCACATTAAAAACATTGGTAAGAATTTTAAAAATAAAAAAATGGAAAGAAAGAATATTTTGGCTACAATTATGACTTGCACTGCAAAACTGCAAATTATAATACAGCGTCAATCTCATGCTTTGTAGAAAGCTCTGCGATACACATTCGCACTGCCCGCAAGCTTGCTTGCTTGAACAATGACATAAAAATGTTGCCGACATTATGACCATGTACGTAGTGTTTGATGTTCAGTGATAGATACATTCACACAGATGAATGGACGCAGTACAGAAGCTTTTGGTAACTAGCGGCAAACGTTCTCCTCTCAAATATCACCACATATTCTATTTTGCAGGCTAAAGCTCTAAAGCAGTATTACAGGAGATGCAGATTTATTAGTGCAAACATGCCCTGGTTACAAGCTGTAAGTGCGAATCACTTACATTGCTGATAG